CTCGGCCTCCTCCCCAGAAAGTACTTACATGACAGAAATCCCCCAGTGGATTCCAGCATCATTGCCAACAGAATCAAAGAGAGGCAGGGCCACCAGGGAAATGGTCGGAGCAATGGTCAAGGGGCCAAGGAAGCGCATGAGAAAGCCGATGAGGCCTGAGAATCCCACCAGTATCTGGATGCAGGAAGCAACCATGATGGCACCCTGCAACTGAAGGGAGAGAGTTGGCCTCTGCTCAGCCCAGGCCCCCCAAACAGGCCAAGCTGCTCAGCCTGCTGCTCAGTCTGGTCACGACCCCTGTGTGTGCATTCAAAGGCAGGGAGGGCAAAGGCAAAGCTGGAACCCAAAGGAACTGAGAGGAGAGACCTGATCTCACTCCTCTCCATCTCTATTCCAATGGTCTTTTTCTGTAAAGGACCAGTGAATGAATATTTTAGGCTTGGTGGCCAAACGGGCTCTGTTGCAACTTTTCCAGACAAGATGTGAACAAGTGAGCGTAGCTGTTTCCAATGGGACTTCATTAATAGACTCTGAAATTTAAATAGCATGCAATTTTGATATGTCAGGGTATAGTATCCTTCTTTGGGGCTTTTAAAAATTACCATGAAAATGTAAAACCATTCTTAGCTCATGGGCTATTCCAAAACAGGCAATGGGCCAGATGTGGCCTTAGTTCAGCCACCCTCTATCTATTGGATTTGAATGAGCTTATTTTACCTCCTCTCTTTACCAGTTTGGATGTCATACATTCCTTTTTAATCTTTTAGAAATCATTATTAACTCTTTAGTGTTAATATTTCACATAACAAAGTCTAGAGCTAAATAAAATTTTCTTTCCTCCTCCCAAACAATACAATGACTGTAGAAAACTTTAACTCCTATTACCATCTTCTGTTTTCTATGCTATTATTGCCAAGTGTATATTTTCCACTGTCAAATTGATTATTATTATGAACTTTCTTATATTTTTGTGCAGTTGCTCCTTACATACATTTCCCTACTGCCCTACACTGAACCGTGTCACATTCCAAATTACGATATCAAAGTCCTAGCCCCCAAGATTGTGGTGTTTGGAAATGGAGGCTTGGGAGGTAACAAGGTTTAGGTGAGGTCAGGGGAGTGAAGCCCCCATGACAGCCTTAGGACCATTATATGAAAAGGAAGATTCTCTTTCCCATGCATCAAAGAAAGCTATGAGAGGACGTAGTTAGAAAGCAGCCATCTGCAAACCAAT